TGACACATGAACTCGGGCGTCCCTTAACCCTGGACCCCTTTCGGTGACAATCACCAGAGAAACGTTAATGCATTATTATTATTATTTGTCCCCCAAGGAGTGACAATGTCGTTTTCAGCAGAAATCCCGCTGCCCTGCCAACCTGACTGGATGAGCAGCAGTTAGCAACAGTATCAGGGTGGGTCATGACGTGTGTGTCAGTTTTTGCTCGTGCGCACGTACTTTTTTGGTTCACTCCAAAAGCCCCAGATCCAAATCGAATGCCAGGAGCGTGATTTAAGCAGTTCTGTCGAACACCCACATCAGGTAAGGCTCTCAGTCACACAAAGCCATCAGTGTTAGCGATGAACTTAAAAGCTTTGCGGCGTAAACGTTTGAGTGACGAAACATGTGGAAATATTCACACTAATCACTGCTAACTGTTCGAACACATTTTAGGGAGTTTTTGTAAATGAAATGCTAACGAGTCCGGAGAATGTCTATACAGCTCAAAATAATGTCTACGATTGAAAAGGAACTCCCGCTTCGGTACAGAAAATTGGCGTCATTCCAGCGTCTTCACCTCCTCTTACTTTCTCTGACCATGTTATTCCTCCCCCCCATCCGCCTGCTTCCTTAATGTCTCCCCTACCGCATCCTCATTCTCTTCCATATAGTTTCCCTCAACTCCCAACTTCCTCGGCTGCTTCTTCAAAATTTGCCTTTTTATCTCGTCGCCATCAGCAAAATTAACCTCCCCTCCTCCTCCTCCTCATCCTGTCGTCCCTGTACTCTGACTCATCATTCCGCTATTTCGCCTCCACATCTGACTATGTTTTTCCTCCTCCCATCATCCTGCGTATCTAATGTCTATTCTACCGTCTCCTCTTCCTCTTCCATACAGTTCTTCTCAGCTTGCTACTTCCTCGACTGCTTCTTCAATACTCGTCTTTTTATTTCCTTCCCATCATCGAAATTAACCTCCACCTCCTCCTCATCCTCCTCTTCTCCCTCCTCACAATCATCACCATCGTAACTGTTATCATCATCGCACATCGTCATTATTCTCACTAGTCAGTATTGGGGATTCGGACCACCACCACAGCCGCCGCCGCCACCAACAACACCATTCCTCCTCCTCCTCCTCCTCCTCCTCCTCATCATCATCATCATCATCATCATCATCATCATCATCATCCTCTACGTCCTCCTCCTGCTCCTACGCGTGCATTTCGATACTCTCGCCAGCATGACTTATGACTTTTGAATAGAGTGAAATTGTTTATCCTCAGTGCTCAGACCAGTCTAGTACCTACTTATCCGTAATTGTTATTGCGCACCTCGGCGTCTTATTCGCTCTTGTATGCGTCACACGTCTTTCACTTATTCTGCAGACTATGCTCCTGCGACAGCCTTCTGCGCCGGAGCCTGGACGAGTCATGCCGTGATGACTTCTGCAAATTCTGCATTCACAAGAGCAGCCAAGCACTGGAACCAGCCACTTCGTCTCTCTGCCTTTACCACAGGTGTCAGTGAGGGGCGTTCTCAGGAGATCGTTACTCCCACCCAGTTCTGATTGACTGGTGCCTACCATTGGTGAGTCCCGTACGGGACGCGTTCGCTACGACTTATCATCAACCCCAGTCCTCGTGACGGTCTGGTCCTGGCATTGCTATGATTGGGTATTATCACTATCTTAGCCGCTAGTATTTGCGCGGCGCACTTATTCTCCTGATCTAAACGCGATCTTGTACCGCATCTCGAAATAGGTCAACTTACATTCCTCAGATAAGATTTAGATGCATTTACTGCTGGTGATCTTGTCTCGGGTGTCATACAAGCAAAGATTCGTTTACGTATACAGCCGGTAACCCATCTCAGGTCATATTATTCGAAATTCTGGAATGCTTTTTCGGTTGGGAAGGATTACCTTAGTGCAGTATTCACGTTGATTAGGTTCGGCATAATCCCAAGACTATGCTCCTACGACAGCCTTCTGCGCCAGAACCTGGTTGAGTCATGCAGTCATAACTTCTGCGAATTCTGCATTCACAAGAGCAGCCAAGCACTGGAATCAGCCAGTTTGTTTCTCTGCCTTTACCACAGGTGACAGTGAGGGACGTTCTCAGCAGATCGTTACTGCCACCCAGCTCTGATTGACTGGCGCCTAAAAGTGGTCGGCCCCGCACACAACGCGTTTGCTACGATTGCTCATCTACCCCTATCCTCCTGACTGTCTGGTCCTGGAATTGCGGTACTTGGTTATTTTCAGTATCTTAGCCGTTAGTATTTGCCGCGGCACACTTTTTCTCTTAATCTGAACGCGATATTGTAGCGCATCTCGAAATAGGTCTATTTATATTTCTCAGGTAAGATTTAGATGCAATTACTACTGGTAATCTTGTCTCGCGTGTCATATTAACAACGATTCGTGGACGTGTTTGGCCAGTGACCGATCTCATGACATATTATTCGAAATTCTGGAATGCGTTTCCGGAGGGTAAGTATTACTTTAGTGCGGTTGTTACATTGATTATGTTCCAGAATGATCCCAGGATTTTACAGGCAGCAACCACTTTAATGATAGATTTGCGAAAAGCTCTTAGTAACTTCTCCCTCAGCTGAGTCCGAGTCGTGACAGTTTGAGTTTTTACTAATTTGCGTACTTTCACATTCCTCTTTTCTAACGATTTACTGTGGAATTCACATGAAATAAGAGGCAGGGACATGGACTGTTCTACCAAAAATATCCTTCCGTTTTGCACCGCTGTTTGAGAGGATGAATTTAAGTTATTTTTGTATGCCAGGTCTAGGTTCAGACCATTGCGTCTTTATAACGGAATATTTGTGTAATAGCATAGCCCAGATACATTTAACACATCCAAATACACTTGCTGGTCTTTAAATGAGCAAAAATTCACATACTGAAAGTCCGTCCCGAAATAGAAGGCTAAAGTAAACCGTCCATTTCAGAGACCACCAATGCATTTAGAAGGTAAGCAAACGCACGTAGTCTCTAAAATTATCACTTACTTGATGCAGCCGTAACCGTGGCTCCCTCCAGAGTTGACTGCATAAGACAGCCCATCCGACCCATCCCCTTCCACTCAGTGTTGGAAACCTAACGCATAAGACGAATGACTAGACTCGCATCGTCTTGTGGCCAGAGCGTTGGCCGTACTAAAACCTTTCCCTTTCTATAGTGGGTTCAAATCCCACCGCAGTCGCGAGGTTTTCACAGTTGGATCAAAATGAATCTGGCTTTTAGGTTGATCTCCGCTTTGGCATCTCCAGGTAGACAACGACGTAAGATAATGAAAACCTGAAACGCCCATCGTTTCGTGAAGCGGTATCGGCATCTGCTGTTCATTGTTTAACTACCTCACTGGGCTATTTAAAGCTGCCTAATTCTTCATACTGACAGTAATCGATCCCGAGAGGTGTCTTTTTCTGGAGGACCGACCAATTTAACGACTTCAGCCATCCGTTACGCCAAAGCTTGAGACTAGAACAGCGACATGGTCAGTATTGTTGCGATCAGTAATCCGGCGATTGGGTATAAATGCAACACTGTCATAATTGTGCAATGTGCTTCCGGTAGTCCCGTCAATAGCGTAGTTGATCAGCACGAAGCATAAGATACAGCGTCGTCAAACGCTAGACCAAACCTCGTGGATGTGTACTGGACATCGGCATGTCATGTAGACTATTAACCCGTCACAGAGACTATGGAGCTCTGGGGCAAAGTAAACAAAGGAGACGGCCGTCGGTTGCTACTAGTGATTCTGGAGATCTAAAATGTGCCACGGTGTGAATATTTGATTCGCCCATCCACACCAAACGCGAGTCAAGCAACCTTATAATCGTCTTAGACTAAAAGCACAGGAAGTCTTCGCATCAACGTCGATTGGACTCATGCCGTGGTAGTTTTCGCTACTCGCCCAATCACTGACTAGAGCCAGAACGCTGAAGTGTCAGCACACGACTTGTCGACTTCAATGAGGAAACCGTCCTCGCCAAAAGTCTTGTTGTTGTCTTGCGGCCTACGTATATGATGGAAGATGGCTTCCTGAGGGAGATGAAGGGCTTTCAAAGACGACACTGCATAGGCTGGAGAGGAGGATGAAACTATGCTCCAGAGCAGATTAGCTGCTCAAAATGCCCATCCCAGCGCTCACCCCTCAGGCCGATTTGCCCACAATAAATCCGCCACCCATATTCCGAACAAAGTGACCCATTACTAACTTGGCGAATGGTTTGGTAGTTCAAGAGTACTGCGGACGTTTGAGACGTTTTATCATGAAAATTGTATTACAAGTCAAGTATTTCTTATGGTCATTTCTGATCGGATTTGCCTTATTCTCTGGAGATGACAGGTGGACTCATTGGTTTGAGCCTTAGGATTGTGAACCTGAACGCTTGTTCAAGGACGCAGAATGTGACAAGGATGATATCTGTTTCGTGATATAGACGCGATGGTGTGTGTATAAGTGATAAGCTATTCGAACTACTGAATGATTAAATGTCGGTTGACTGTAAATACTATAATAAGCGTGCAATCTTTTGCATCCTTAACAAAGAATTGACAGTGTGCAGTCCCCATCGTTACAGCATGGGCGTTTGTTGCATATACGGGCTTTAGGTCCGAGAATCGGGACTCTGGGAAATGAAGATCCCTAGGTAAATTCGCATCTTAAGCTTCGTCGCAACGACACATGTGACTTTTGGGAGAGGCAGTGTAACAATTGTCCACGGGGACATTGGAATCATGCAGTACTGGCATCAATGGCTGACTTACGCATTTGTGTCTGAAGCTCAGTTTTCTAACTTGTCTGTCTCTTCGGTTCACCCACCGACGCAGCGCCGGTCAGCGCGGTAAAGGAGTCTACTGAAATCCCAGCGGTTGTCCTTTTCTGTGCTTTTAAAGAGCATGAATTTGAGGAGAGTCACGAAAAGGGAGATGGAGCTGGAGAAGAAGGAGGGAAATAGAGGTAGGCTTCCTTACTGCTGACGTTTGTGTGTATGTTTGCCAGGTTAAGGGCGGCGCATTACTCCACGCCCATCGAATAATTCTAGCGGACCGTATACTTTCATTGCCATTGCAATTTTCTGTGGAGAGGGACGAGGACGAGTCGGGGACATAGCAGAAGTGGAAGATAATGATGATGATGAAAATGAGAAGAATAAGACGAAGAAGAAGAAGAAAAAGAAGATAAAGAAGAAGAGGCAGAAGAAGGAGGAGGGGGAAGAAGAAGAGTAAGAAGAAGAAGAAAAGAAAGAAGAAGAAGAAGAAGAAGAAGAAGAAAAAAAAGAAGAAAAAGAGGAAGAAGAAGGGGGAGTAGGGGTAGGAGGACGAGGAGGAGGAGGAGGATGAGGAGGAGGAGGACGACGAGGAGGAGGAGGTGGTGGCTGGTGGTGGTGGAGGTGGTGGAGGAGGAGAAGGAGGAGGAGGAGGAGGAAGAGGAGGAGGCAGAAGGAGGACAAGAAGAAGAAGAAGAAGACGAAGAAAAAGAAGAGGAAGATTGTGATGATTACGGTGATTTGAGGGTGGATTGTTAGCCTCAGGGTGAAGGCTGAGTGATCTGGATTACAGTAAGTATATTGTCCCGATATCACGAATGTCTGATGACCTACTGAACACAGTATCATTGTAGCCAGCTTTCTCATTAATGTTGCGTCGCTAATCATTTGTGCGAAAATATGATCTTCGCCAACTGGCGTTATGTGTGCACATCGAACCGAAACCTTCTGCCTACAATTCAGTTACCACCTGCCCCCCTCCACACCCTTTCCTATGGTTTTCTCGCTGATGACTGAGCACACGTCAGTCTACTTGGCAGTTAACTCACGCCATCGGTGACTTCTAGGCAGCTTTGCCTTCACCAAAAAAATTTACTGTCATCGGCCAATCAGAACCTGCAGGTCGTCAGTGCGCGCGTGCGTGCGTGTGTAACCTCTCGATACACAGTAAAAGACAGCCTTCGTGGCCCTCGTAGCATTCCGGCTCTGCTGCTCTGGTTATTACTCCGAATGGCGCTTCCACAGACAGAAATATTTGAGGACCAATTTCCCCTGATTCGAAGCTGTCCTGCATTGAACGAAATTCGTCTTGCTCAGGACATAAAGGATCTGCGAATAGAGGTAGGTTTCCCTACTGCTGACGTTTGTGTGTATGTTTGGAAGGTTAAGGGCGGGGCAGTACTCCACGCCCATCGAATAATATTAGCGGCCCGTATTCCTTCTTTGCGAGCTGCCCTCAGTGGCCCCCTCGGGGAGGAGAATTTGGTTCTCAGATGGCCGACAGTGCCTCTCAAGTGAAATTTGCATCGGTTCTCTGATCTTGCTTACTCCTTGCGCACTTTATAGCCTCGCAACTACATTCATTCAGTATGTTTACACGGGTCAGGTGGAAATGACACAAAGTAATGCGAGAGGCATGGTAACGCTTGCCAAAATGGTCAAACTGCCTGACCTTCTTAACTGGGGTGTTACATTTATGGCCAAGGGGTAACTATCGTTCTGGCCTTACCTACACACACTAAAGCCTCGATTTAGAAAGTCTGCCGGCAACTTGGGACTTTGCCAGGACCCTGAATGTGGAAGTACTGGCGGAGAAGTGTATGGGCCTGATGAAGGAGCAGTTTGAGCACTTCATTCAAACTGACCTCTTTGTCAGCTTGCCCGCAGAAACTGTGCTCACTCTGCTTCGCAGCGATGATATCTCGGTGGAATCCGAGGAGCAGGTAATTGCAGCCATTTCGCGCTGGGTGGACGCCGGTGGTGCTGCCGATGATGATAGGCTGAGAGTGCACGCTCCGGCAATGCTGAAAGAGGTGCAATGGCAACTGACGAGCGTGCAATGTCGCAGTCGTCTGCTGGATAGTTATCCAACACTCCAGAAGAGTAACGAATGTCTGTAAGTTTATGGCATTTGAGCCCTGTTAATTCGATATAAAAGTCGTCTTATGCTTCAGGTGGAGCAGTGGATTGG